CATGCCAGCAGCCGCTTGCTTTAGTTAAAAATAACAGTGTTCTGTGAATGTTGATGCTTTAATAACGAATACTTATCGGGAGCGTGTATGCTGGGATTTCATAAATGTAATGGAGAATAAAGTAACAGTAACCAGTAATGTAACTAATTACTAATTACTTTTGAAATAAAGTAATCAGAACAGTAACATGATTACTTTTAAAAGGAGTAATCAGTAATCAGTAATTGAATTACATTTTCAGAGTAACTTGCCCAACACTGCCCATTAAAATGTCTTCATATCAAGGACCCGATCATAGAAACAATGCACAGTACAAGCGCAGTGTTGAGCTTCTTGAGTCTGTTCAGTGAAGAGCGTTTTGATTGGTGGATTAAAAGCTCACCGCGATTGGCTGAACGGAACATCCTCCAAAAAAAGATATTTATGAATCTTAACCTGCCAGGAAGGTCTCAAAACTACCACACACAAATTCAAAGCAGTCCACGCATGTGTGATTATTTGCAAATGCAGATTCAATGATCCATAAATACATGTACGATTATTCATAAATATGTGATGGAAATTAATTCAAGAAATGTATATATACATATTTGTGTAAACATTTTAAATGTACTTAGGTAAGATGCATTTGTGTGAGCATTTGGGGAAATATTTATGCTTTTACTTGTGTATTTATGAATTGTGTTAAAAATGTGTTATTTTTGAGGCTGATCTGGCTCCATAGTCAGGTGGTACAAGTCGTAGCTCTCAGAAAACTCCCAGTTCACAAGTTGTAATTACGAATTCTACGAGGACGTGAACGCTTTTTACAAGTTGGAATCTCCTAATTACGGGATTCCGATATGGCGTGAACCCACCTATTGTGCGGGTGACTCTCTGAGCAGGTGTACCAGCACTCTGAAGTGAAAGTGGTCTGTGGAAACAGGGAGCTTCATTTTTATACCAATCAGAATTGACAGACACAATTGTTTTGGGGGGACATTTATTTTGTAATTACACATCAGATCCAGACATTTGTAGTTTTCTTTTTCAATTTTCAATTAGTCTGTTTTACGAAAGGCTTTTATTTTGTTATTTCTCACCAGACAGTTATTTTCATATTATTTGGAAATTACTCAATGTTTGAAGTAATGTTCATTTTATCAGACCGTTTTTTAAACATTTGTATTATTTTAAATGTATTTATTTATTCGTTCGTTCGTTCATTGTGGACAGGGAAACTGGCTCAATAAATGAATGCCAGAGATAGGTTTTCCTTTGATCTGAGGTTTTATAGGATTTGACCGTAACGCCTAGTATACGGCTGGAATGACCGTGTTTTTGAAAGTGGAGGGCTGGCCTGACCGCAGTTTCATTTGTCCCGAACACTAGTCTGTCAGAATGGCTGGAGAAAAGTGTGCCTCTGATGATAAGCAGGATTCTTCTGACGACTGCGGGGAAGAGAATTGTATTTTCTGTAAAATCGCAAACAGAGACGATCCATCCACTGAGATATTGGCGGAAGTAAGTTACGTTAAGTGGATCTTTATCGACTTGTGGTTTCTTGTTGTCTGGGTAGCTTAATTTCAAAGGTGAATTAGGTAAGTAAATTCACTCCTCTTTCTAAATGTAACTTTATAATATTAGGCCTATAGCCTATATTTGACAGCAGTTCATTATAGTCATCAGCATCCAACCTGAAGGAAGAAAGATGAACTGGGAAGGAAATCTGATAAGCAGGATTGGTTCCGTGACTTAAGCTTCGAGAACAGTTCTGTGATACGAGAAGCGCTTGATATAGAGGACACTGTTCTCGATGTACTTCTTTTTGTATTAACTTTACTTAATGAGTCATTTAGATGTGTTCATTCAAATGACATAAAAAGTACAGCGGCAGTAGAGCTTTACTTTCACTTTTCGTTTCTTTCTGAAATAACACGATCCGGCTTTTATTGGAAAGGAGGAAGAGCTTTTGGGGGACAAGCTAAATGCTATTAACTAATATGGTATATGAGTATGAAATATGAAAAAGAAGCAAATATAATAATTTTATATTCATAATAAAACACAATAATTAAACATCCTCAAAAATGGTCGTAGCTTATCTCAAAAATATATTTGAGTCATAACTTCTGCTGTGGTTATGGCGTCATATTTAGTCATTTCGCCCTCGTCATTTCTCATTAGCGGAAGTGATGTTACTCCAGTGAGTAAAACAAATGGGCACACTGCCACTACTGCTCTCAAAAGTTACTTAAAACCGCAACGTTTCGACCCTAAGGTCTTCGTCAGGCAAAACGAAAAAAATATATATATTTTTGTTTATTGACTGTGAAGGGTTTCATATGATCGAGCACCTGCCCAAAGTTTGTGGATGTGCGCAAATGACACTCCCTTCACTCATCCAGTATGCCCCCTGTATAAATACAGTGGGGTCCTTAGATACACATTATAAAGTCATTTACTTCATGAAGTGTGTTACTTGGAACTATTACAAAACCAATTCATAATGTTTCCCCTCAGTTTTCTGTAACATTCAATGATAATTATAATTAGTATCTTATACTGTTAATGCCAAGGTAAATACAAATGTAATGCGCAATTATTATTATTATATATTTTTTTTTGACAGGATGAGGACATTGTTTGTTTCCAGGACATTGATCCAGGTGCACCTCATCACTACCTGGTTATACCAAAGAAACATATCCATAGCTGTTTGTCACTCCAAACAGATGATATAAATCTTGGTAAGATTATGTCTCTTTTGGATGTGCATTTGATTATTAAATTGTGTATTACTGTTTTGTGAATGGCTTTTGTATTTCTAGCCAGCAGAAGGTAGAAACACAGAGAAATTAAGTATTGAGCTCTGGTTTATTTTGCTTATTGTTAGACTGATTATATATTGACAATACAATTACAATACAATTAACAAGCAATGCCATACTGATGACAGGGCTGATGTTTCATTTAATTGATTTGATCGAAAACAAGTATTTTAATAAGATACAGTGATTAAATGGGATTTTCAATAATCTAAATGTTATTATCCTGAGCAGTGAAGAAGATGGCAGATATGGGAAGAGAGGTACTGAAAGCCAAGAATGTCACAAATTTGGAAGACATCAGGTTTGAAGACAACACTACTGTCATATTAATCAAGCATTTATTTGGATGAAGCAGTTATTAAATGAGAACATGACTATATTTCAGTCTAGGTTTCCATGTACCTCCATATATCACTGTCCCCCATCTGCACCTCCATGTTCTAGCACCTTTTAGTCAGCTGTTTAAATTGGCAATACGCAAGTACACATCCTTCTGGTACCTCACTGTGAGTAAACTAAAGATGTTTCAAGCATTTATTTGATTACACTTGGTTGTATATGAATTCATAAAGTTTGAACAATTTATCATTATTTCTCTTTTTGTGTGTGTGTTGTTTTAAAGGAGGAGAAGCTGCTTCAGAAACTGACCGGAAAAAAAAAAAAAAAGAATGGGCATGTGACAGTTGCATGCCGCCATGTGTAGCTATGTGCGCCTTATTACTGAACTAAAAAACTTGAAATCACAAGGCACTTTAGTCAAGATCAGTGGACATTGTTTTTTCTTTTTCATTGTTTGGTTTGAGCCTTAAATGCCTGCCATTTAACGTTATTTTTATATTTTATTTATATAATGCTAAATAATTTTAAAAACCAGGATGGTATCCTTTAAACTGACAATCAATATTTTAACTAAAGTGTAATCTGATCAATAATGTCTAATGTTATTAAATGGATGGAACAGTTATGTTTGTACAGATTCTACATGCTATATTGTGAAAGATTTATCGTACAGTGAGCCATCAACACATTCATGGTCACACCCAGGGGTGTTGCTGGGAGAGGCCCAGAACAATGTTCTCTGGGGGTTGTAATCCCCCCACCCCTCTGAACGTGATTTTGAGGAGGCCCAGAAAAAATCATTGCAGTGGACCCAGAAATCCTAGCGACACCACAGGTCACACCATTATGTTTTCTTCAGTGTTCATGCTCATGTTCTTTACATACTGATCAGAGGGGCACATCCTGTCCAAGTGTGCGGTTCTTGGCATGGACAAAGGTTAAAGGGGTCATATGATGCGATTTCAGTTTTTCTTTTCTCTTTGGAGTGTTACAAGCTCTTGGCCTAAAATCTTTAACTGATGGAAACTATGTGGAACTTGTGTATCATTGCCCAATCAAACCATACAAGTGTATCCTTTTGATGTCTGTAAACAAAGGTCAAAGGTCAGGTATCTGCTATAGAGGGTTAAAATAATCAGTAAAGATGCCTTTGCAGCCAGCCTTACAAAAGATGCTTACAGTGATGTAATAGACTCCACGATAACACAAGATACGTTTATCTGCTGCTAGTCAAAATGTGTTGGCCCACCTGCTTAAAATTATTATAAATCAGCTGAGTGAACAAGACTGATTACTATTTATTTATTTTGCCTTTATTGCTTTCTGTCATAGTTAAAAACAGGACACCAGTCTAGTTGTTATGATTTGTGGCCAGTATAAAGGTTTTAAACCTCATCTGGCCAGGCACAGGGAGAACTTGTGTTTAAGTGTTTAGAGAGGTTGAAGATCTGCTTGGCTGTGGATGTATAAAAAAACATTTCTTTTTGGTCATGTTAGCAATCATTGTGTTAATATTAATGATACACGTTTCGGTCTAAAACTTGCAGCTAATGCTCTGCTTTTATCTGAGGTTCAAAGTCTGTGTTTCAGAGACTAAAAACAAAAAAAGCAGACGAGAGCAGGCAAAATGATGGAGTGCTGTTTAATGCGTGGTCAAAATGGATTTTTGCCTACAGAGCAGTCAGAAAAAGATAACAGAGTTGTTTAAAATGCGTATCTGCTTAAGCTTGATAAGTAAAAAAAAAAAAAATGTATGTTGTGCTAATTGTATTGGATGTGTCTTATGTACAGTCAATGAAAAGTTTTGTTCTCTTAGTGGAAGTTAATGAACATGCATAATATTACTTTTGATTAAATATGTGCTTAATGGTTAAATGTGCACTCTGTGTCCATCTCATTTACAGTGACATTGTTCAGAGGAGCAGAGAGGAGCTCAAAGCTATCAGAGAAACCAACCCAGGCCTCAAACCTACATTGGCTATCATACAGGTATGTCTTTGTGTTTAGATAAAGAGTTGGAGAGCACTTGTGTGTATCTGTTGCCATGTGAATGTATCTCAGACACTAAAAGCTGGTTTGCTTTTACTTATGGAAGGCTGGTGAAGATGACGGTTTGCTGGAGGTGAATAAGAAGATGGCTGGAAAGGTATAACTGTTTTTCTTCCCTTCTGTCCAACATGCAATAAATAAATGGGTGCAAGTAACACAAATCTTTGCATTATACTTTACATTACATTTTAGCAGATGTTTTGCTGTTGATAAGATGAATGGAAATGCAAATTAATAGCTTATACAGTGATATATACCTGCTGATTTTGTATCCACACAGATCGGATTGAACGTTATGCAGATTTGTCTTCCACGCCAGTGCACAGAGGAAGAGGTAAGTGATGCTGCAAATTCTGAAAAGCAAATTAGAGTAGCTTTTTTGATTAAACCGAAACTATCCTCTTTATTCTACAGGTGATTGAGGAGATCTTGAGATTAAATGAGGATTCTCGTGTTTATGGCATTTTTTTGAACCTTCCTCAGTCCTTCCTCTCAAAAAGTGTCCGTAATGCCGTCAAGCCACAGAAAGATGTGGATGGGTAAGCTACAGTTTTTTTGTTTATATTCATACGTGTAACCAAAAATCACTTTTTGGCATAAGTGCCAATGGTGGTTGATTTGAGAATTTTCTAGCTATGAATATATCCCATCTGCCATGATTTTGTATGGTATTTATTAAAAATAATTGTATTCTTATGACAGGGAAGTTATTGGGAAACTATTCATTGTAGGATACTTTTAAATATATTATAGATGCATTTACTTTAATTGAATAAAGTACAACAAGAAGTGTAATTTTAGGGTAGAAACTGAATGTTTTCCACACAAAGTCACATAAGCCTATATGTGTTTGCAGGGTCTCTGATCTTAATGTTGGCCGTGTAGTGTTGGGGGATCAGAGAGACAGTTTTGCTTCACCTATAGCTGGAGCTGTGCTGGAGATGCTTGCCAGGCACGGTGTGTATCTGTTTGTTTATTTATGCATTTCGGCATATGTTATTACATTTGCATTCAAAAGGTGAAATGTTTCATAAACACTGCTAATTCTACTGAATGGAGTACAAAACAAATATCCATATTTATATGGGCCATTCTACAGAATTGGTGCAAACTTCTGTCCCACAACCAAAAAACACATTTAAAAAGCATTTAAGGATTCAAATCTTAGATGTTTATTAAAGGGGTCATCGGATGCCCATTTTCCACAAGTTTATATGATTCTTTAGGGTCTTAATGAAAAGTCTATAACATACTTTGGTTAAAATTTCTCAATGGTAGTGTAAAAAAACACCCTTATTACCTTGTCAAAATCAGCTCTGTTTTCAGTACGCCGTTCAAGTCCATGTTGCTTTAAATGCTAATGAGCTCTGCTGACCCCACCCCTCTCTTCCAAGTAGGTATAACTGCAGACCGGAGATCTCCAAAATGGGGTGTGAACTCCAAAAGTGGGCAGAACCTCCAAAATGGGGCGGGGTCTCCTCGGGCAAAGACTTTCACCACTTTATTGACTTACATTTCAAAATAAAACTTTATAAGTTAAACATTGTTTCTAGTTGATCTAAAATAAAATATGCTATATAAATAAATATTCTCCGTAAGAGCAGAGCCCAAAGCTCATGGCCAGTGGTGTTTGGACTGGAGTTTGAACCTCTGCTTCATGATGTAAACGGGAATCACCCATGAGCTCTCCCGCGAGCCGTCCCTGCACAGTGCAAATATTTTACTCTATCGCTTTGTTTTAAGCAACGGGGGTGTCCTGGGGCTCGAAATTCGCAGGGTAGGAGGGGGTAGTGATGCTGGGTGTAACTAAAAAGGTGCCCATTGTCCGGTGAGGTTCGGTTGGGGAGTTACGGAACGATCTCATATCGCATAATCTTATTAACTGTTTATCTGCTGAACTGCATCTTTCTTTACCATGCTATTCAGCGTCAATCCCGCCGTGAACTCGATTTGACTGGTTAAGGTTAGGGTCAGGTGTGGGGTAGGTTTAAGCCCAATTTATACTTGTGCGTCGAACCAACGCCGTAGCCTACGCATAGATGCACACCCTATGCCGTAGCCTGACGTGCACCTCTCCAAAAATCTCACGAGTTTTGTGTGTTTATGTGCACTTTATTATATTTTAATGTTACACCTTCTTATATAAAATAAAACAAAGCAAAGAACAAGTGTCTTATCATTTATTATACTACATAGCATTATACATCAGTAGTTGTCCGCGACAAACAATGTTGATCTGCCGTGGTACAAGTCCTTGTGGAGATTGAAAGTATGCCATCTTCTCCTGTTCCGTTGTTGTCTGCTTTTTGTAGTTTTAAATAATGATTTAATGATCTGATATTTATATTTACGATGCAGAAGTATAAATGAAAACTGACGCATAGCCTACGGCGTAGGTCAGACACAGAATTATAAATCAGTCTTTAGGGGTTAGCATGTAGTATAGTGTAGGAAATCAACACTTTAATTGACAACCAATAAAATCTTTAGAATCAGCTGTGGGGTGGAGTTTGCACTGAAGTGGATTGGGGGGAAAAAATTACACATGCGTGTCATGTCTTTCAATGAGAGGAAGGCACTCCCTATTTTGAAGCTCCCACCCCGTTTTGGAGTTCCCGACAAACAATGTTGATCTGCCGTGGTACAAGTCCTTGTGGAGATTGAAAGTATGCCATCTTCTCCTGTTCCGTTGTTGTCTGCTTTTTGTAGTTTTAAATAATGATTTAATGATCTGATATTTATATTTACGATGCAGAAGTATAAATGAAAACTGACGCATAGCCTACGGCGTAGGTCAGACACAGAATTATAAATCAGTCTTTAGGGGTTAGCATGTAGTATAGTGTAGGAAATCAACACTTTAATTGACAACCAATAAAATCTTTAGAATCAGCTGTGGGGTGGAGTTTGCACTGAAGTGGATTGGGGGGAAAAAATTACACATGCGTGTCATGTCTTTCAATGAGAGGAAGGCACTCCCTATTTTGAAGCTCCCACCCCGTTTTGGAGTTCCCGCCCCCATTTGGAGATCTCCAGGCTGCAGTTATACCCTTCTCCTCTCTTCTGTGGGTGACAAGCCATTTTCATGATACTGTTTACTTTAGCCACGGAACTTGCTAACTAGCACATTATTAGGAAAAAAAGATTTGCAAAGATTCATAAAAAAAACCCTTATACTCACTTCTTCTGTAGATGAAGCTGGGTCATGAATGATTCGCACGAACTTAAACGCATTTAGGCAGATCGGGGATCGGCGCATTCCTTTAAAAAAACGAAAGTGTCATTAATCCTCTGCGTCTTCAGCGGCTCAGATGCCGGGAGTAAATGACGACTGCTATGTTCATTATTACAACCAGCAACAGAACACCTCAATCACTTAATCGGAGACATTCTTGTCTTCCCCTGCACCGGAGTCGACACGATGGCGGACAGCTTACAGCTCACTCAGGGCAGGTCTAAGGTAAGACGGCCTTGTCAATCAACTATCGTGGGAGGGTCCTGTGCAGAGCTACTTCTTTCTGACAGGAATCTCAGAACAGCCTGATTTGAAGGGGATTTAAAAAAAAAACCACTGGGTGGATTTTTATCATTATAGGTTGGATGTGTATACACACTTCCAACACACATTTATGTTCAAACAACAACAAAAGTGAATTTTGCATCCGATGACCCCTTTAAGATTGTTCTATTATCTATTGAAACCCACAATGATATTTAAAATATCAGTAAGCTTAATATATATCAAATCATAGTTTATTGGGTACTTTCAGTTGGGAGGTGGCTGTCCCACAGCCATTGAGCTAGGATCAAAAGTAACAAAAATTTTCACTCCCGAAAAACATTTGGTGGAGTTTCGGTAGTGACATCTTTGTTTGTTTTTTTGGTTGTTATCCCATAGAATTGTCACTACCGAAAATGTGCCGTCACTACCGAAACATGGGATGTTTTGTCAAAAATAAAGTATACTGAATTATCAGCTAAGATGTTATGATAGTTTGTGGTTCAGTGAATATTCAAACTAATGAATCCTTAACTTTTAAATCAGTATGATCATCTTTTTACCTTTTACAAAGAAAAATTGGATTCAAAATAAACAAATCTCATAAATTACACTTGAAATATTGTTAAGAATTTAATTATTGATTTACCTCTGAAAAAATTTAATAAAATAGCCAAAAAATATATTTACAATCTAGATGTAAGCAAAATCTTAATAGGTCAATATAACCCTTCTAATTAAATTATTACTATTTTGGTAGTGACAAATTTGGGGAGAGGACAAATATTCCAAAAATGTATGAAAATATAATATGAGAATTAACTGCACAATTACTAGAAATGTGTACCTTGGATATTATACAATTTGCATGCATACCGTTTTTGGGGAAAATACACATTACACAAATACACATTTTCCCCCAGACGTTTCCAACTCTGACTTTGGACCAAGTCTGTAGAATGTTCCATATATCAATATATTAAAAATATCCTCCAAAAATGCATGTACACTGACTTTCAAAAGTATATGAGGTCTGTAAGGTTTTTTTTAATGAATTTAATTTATTTATAAATAATATTACAATATAAAATAGCTGTTTTCTATTTTAATATATTTTAAAATATAATTCATTCAGCAGCCTTTACTTCAGTGTCACACAATCCTTCAGAAATCATTCTAATATGCTGATTTGGTGTTCAAGAAACATTTATTATTGTAAATGTTGAGAACAGCTGTTCTGCTTAATATATATATTTTCTGTGACATTATAAATGTCTTTGCTGTCAGTTTTGATCAAACTAATGTGTGCTTGCTGAATAAGTGTTCATTTCTGTCCAAAAATATCTTACTGACCTCAGATTTTGGAATGCTAGTATACTTTTTTGTTTATTGTAGCATAATGTAATGTTGAGTTTACGGTGAATTGATTAGAGCCAGTTTAAATATACAGTATTTACTTTTTTTGTGACACTCCTTTAGATGCCCCATTGATTGGTAAGATGGCAGTGCTGGTGGGTGTTGAGGGACCCCTGAAGGCAACTCTTCAATTTTTGTTGCAAAACAATGGCATGATGGTGCAGACCTGCCAGTGGAGCTCAAAGCACTTGCAAAAGCAGGTAAATTGATAACTGGGAGATATTTATTTTTCAGGTCAGTTTTTAGGTGTAGTTTGCTATTTTCAGCAGCAGAGGGCAATGCTGCTTTGTTTCAGGAGGGACATCTGGATAAATCATAGGAGGCATACACTAATTTTCTTTCTTTCTCTCTCTTTCTTTCAGATCATGGATTCGGATTTGGTGATATTGTTAGAGACTGACCACAAGGGCCTCCCACCCACTTGGTTAAGACCCGGGGTGGCAGTCATCAACCTCAGCTCAGCCCTAATGGAAGGTACATTTATTCAAAGTAAAGATATTAAGCATGGCTCACGTTATAACAGTTGTTTTTTACTTTGCTATACATAAAACGTATAGATCCGTTCTTTACTTGAGAAGTGCCATTTGAGAATCGAGGAAACTTATAATTGTAGTACCATGTGAAAGACAAGCATATGATTCCTCTGAAACCGATTAAGTCAGGCACGCAGTTTTCTTCACCTTTCATTACCTGCCATCTCCAGGAGACTTTAATGGATATAGAGGCCCATGCTGTTTCCTCCATAACCCACAAATTCCATTAGTGTGGGAACATAATAAGACACCACTAATTGTATTTCCTTAGATGCTCAGTCCGGGCCAACTTTTCATACTTATGATCTTATTTCCTAGAACACCCTGACAGTTGGGAGCACAGGGCTGAAGCTGAATCCGGTGCAGGAGTTGGGCCTCTAAGTGGTGCGCTAAGAATGCAGGTGAGAGGCCTGTTGTTGTTTCTTCTTTGTATTAAAATCTTTAAAATAGGATAAGTTATTCTATCAATTTAATATAAAACCTTAAGAACCCGTGATTTACCAATTTAAAGATGAATTTATTAGGGTTAGGGTTTATTAGGGTTAGGTTAGGTTACCCTAACCTAACAGTAAAAAGTTGGGAAAAAGTTGTTTTTTAAAGGGGATCACCAAGGCGGCATTTATTTGATCAATAAATAAATACTTTCAAATAAATATAGTCAGTAATGTTGTAAAATATTATTACAATTTGAAATAATTGTTTTCTATTTGAATATATTTTAAAATGTAATTTATTCCTTGCATGGCAAAGCTGAATTTTCAGCAGCTATTACTCCAGTGTCAAATGATCCTTCAGAAATCATTCTGATATGCTGGTTTGAAAAACTGATCATTTATTGCCTGTTGTCCTCTTTTTAAAGCTGCTTTACAGCAGAATTAAGTTTTGTTTGCATCATTGAAACATTAATTTGATTTGAACTTGGTGCTCAAGAAACTATTATTATTATCATTGTTGAAAACAGTTGTGCTGCTTAATATTATTGTGCAGACAGGGTTTCAGGATTCTTCAATAAATAGAAAGTTAAAAAGAACTGCTTTTATTTGATATTGAAATCTTTTGTAACATTATAAAAATCTTTGTCACTTTCGATCAGTTCACTGTGTTTTGAATGGTAGTGTTATACCAAATCACAGTAGTTATTGCCAGTATGTTATTTTTATAGTATATATTTGTGCACAGTTTGTGTACATAATTATGCTATGAATGTTGTAATTTTGAAGCGTTCACTGAGATGTTTGTGTCTGTTGTGATCTGCCAGCATGTAGTGAGGAGCAGCAGGAGGTGGATACAAGAACAGCAGTACCAGCCATGGAGGCTCCGCCCACTAAAACTCCAACCACTCTCACCTGTGCCTAGGTACGAACGGCCTTGCCTTTTAGTTTCTACGGAATATGCATCACTCAGACCTTTGCTTGTTCATTTGTGCACAGAACTAATTGGTCTCTCCATCTTTCTTTTTGCATGTTTCTGTAACCCTCAGTGATATAGAGATCTCCAGAGCACAGACTCCCAAACCCATATCTCAGCTGGCTCAGGAGGTTGGTCTGCTTCCAGAGGAGCTGGAGGCCTATGGAAATACCAAAGCCAAAGTCCATTTGTCCCTCCTCAACCGCCTCCAACATCAGCCTAATGGCAAATATGTCCTGGTGGCAGGGTGTGACATCAGTTTTTACTTTCACTGAAGTTTAATTCATGTCATATTACTTATCTAAGGGTGTGTTTACGCTTGGAAGCTTTAGTTTGATTTGATTGGTTTGGTTTTTACTGTTTGGTACAGGTGTTGATACCAGCAGATCTTTGTTTGCATGCAAGAATTCCTGGCAATATTTAGATTCCTTTGCATATTTCATAAGCTTTTAGTGCGTTTTAAGCTGGTAAAAATACCACCATATATACAGTGGGTACGGAAAGTATTCAGACCCCCTTAAATTTTTCACTCTTTGTTATATTGCAGCCATTTGCTAAAATCATTTAAGTTAATTTTTTTCCCTCATTAATGTACACACAGCACCCCATATTGACAGAAAAACACAGAATTGTTGACATTTTTGCAGATTTATTAAAAAAGAAAAACTGAAATATCACATGGTCCTAAGTATTCAGACCCTTTGCTCAGTATTTAGTAGAAGCACCCTTTTGATCGAATACAGCCATGAGTCTTTTTGGGAAAGACCCAACAAGT